GCAGTTCAGCAAAGAGGCAGACAGTTTGTCCAGCACAGAGGCAGGCAGACCAGCGCTGGCTTCCCCATGAAGAGCAGTTTGTGTGAGAGGCCCCTATGCAGACGTGGCTGCTAGGCTATATTTTTTTTTAATTTGAGCCTAATTAGCCACCAGTAACCCTTCTTAGTAGATGTCTTTTTTTTCTCAGGGTTCACACTGATTTTCATTTTTCTTATGTCTACTAAATTGTACTTACCAGTGGTTAATAATTATCCTGAGCAATGCTGGGTAGACATGGCTACTGTTCAATAATAAGAAAATTATTAAACTTTATGAAAGAGTATGACAACACTAAAAGGGAAAAGTATGAAAAATGTACAAACATGAGAAATGTCTATAGCATAGTATCAAGCAGAAAGACAAACACATAATTGTAGGACTACTACACTTAAATTTTGTTGAAAAAAAAAGTATACAGACAAAAACTGGAAGAGGATGTGAAAAATGCAAAACTATTTGTGTTTGAGTAGTAGTATTAAGGCGTTTATTTTTCCATTTTAAAAATTCTTTCAATGGTATTGTATCACAATTTTTATATAAATAAAAAAGGGAAGTAAAAGAAAATCTGAATACTTTCTGACCCATTTATTTCTCCATCAAGCTGCTTTCACTATTAGTCTGCAAAGCAAGCCCTTCAAGTGCCCTCTGCAGACGGGGCCTACAGCAGTCTGCTATGCCAGTGCTCTGTTGAGATCAGTTTGGGGTCAATTTTACTGCATCAATTTAAATACCCTGTTATGGATAGTAGATTTGCTGAGTATAAAGTAGATTGAAAGGTTAGTGTAGAAATGTGTAAATGTATAGAAAGAGCTCTGGAGGATATTTTAGCATGGAATGCAAGACGACCTGGAAAATCATTGAGATAGTTAAACTGAGGCTGTGGGAAGAAGTGACAGTTTAACCAGGGAGCAGAATTGCCGGTTTCAGGAGGAGGGTAACACTGTTAAATAATAATTTTACTAGAGAGCAAACACCTCTGGAATTAGAGTGTCAGTGTGAGTACAGTTACTACTGTTGATGCCCTCCGAATTCTGGTCTACCTTCCTGTTTCCTGTTCTGTCTGTTCTGTGTGTAACACACAACACACACACACACACAGTCCTCTGCTCCCACACCAGGCCTAAGGCTCCTATCAGAGCCTTCAAGGTCAAAGCTAACAAGACCATCCTTCTCAGGAGCCTATGATGAAAACTAATTTCTGTTTCTCAATGCTGAGACTCACAAGAATGGACCCATAGTTAATTGTGCCTTAGGCTTAAATCTTTTAGATTCTTAGCACCTATAAAACAGACAGATCTCTTGCTAATATTAATCATCTCTCACAGCATAACCTTGAAGATGTATTATACTAAAAGATCTACTATCTACAAGGACACAAAGCAACCAAAGAGAGAAGAGGGCTGAGAATTCAGTCCTGCCACAAGTGGGAAGTTGCAACTTCAGAGTCAACTATGCAAATGTAGATGTTAAGGACATATTTACTTTCCTCCTGATGGGTTTAGACTGTAGCAGCTTTGAGAATATTTGTGCTTAAGATGTTTATGTGAACATCTAGTTACCAGCTAGACACTTGAAAGACCAGGAGAGTTTGCAAGTCACTTGTTGGGAAGATCATAAAAGGGAATAGATTTAAGTATGCCCAACCTGAGCCACTCTGTGAGACTTGGAGTTCCAAGGTCCCCTCACCACCCACCCCTTCCACCTTCTGCAAAACTTGGGGTGCCAAGGCCACCATGGACTGTCCTGTTAAGAGTGTCAGTGGTGTTATTCTAGAATAAATTAGATTTGAGGAATGCATTGGTAAGAAAACATTGGAGGGAATATAGGGGAGGATTTTAAGCCAAGAACCATTCTGATGCGCAAGGTTGCTCTTTCCCAAAAGATGGATAGGGAGTCATCCAGTAGGATGGGAGGGGATGCAGGATTAGAACTAGTAGCACCCTTTAAGGGTTTAACTTAGTGCTGTCTCTTGTCGTATGGGAAAAGGCATATTAGCAGTTTAAAATTTTCCCTTTCATATTTGGAATTTTGTCTAGTTACCCCAACACCACAGTAAAATATGATAATCCTATACATGCTTGTGTGATATTGTAAAAGATAAAGCAACAGGAGTATAAATTGAACTGTCATTTACCCTGTATTAACCCCTTCATGGGAGCCCATAGAGGGTTCTGCATCTAGCAAGGAGACCATGTCCCAAAGTTCCAGGGTATGACCATCAACAAAAGGACCTGAAAATGGTGAGGGGAAGCACAAAGTGCTGGCCAGTAAATGCCAAGTGACCAGCTCAAGATTGATATAAATCCTCCTCGGTACTAATCCATACTAGAAGAAATGGACCCTTAGGTAGAGGCTGGCTGCTGGTTAGTTAAACTACATATCTCCACTTGAGCTTATGTTGATTAATTCGAGTCTTCTTTAAAAAAAAATTTATTTATTTATTTATTTATTTATGTATTTTTAGGCAGAGGGAAAGAGAGGGGGAAAGAGAGGGAGAGAAATGTCAGTGTATGGTTGCTTCTCGTGCGCCCCTACTGGGGACCCAGCCCACAACCTAAGCATGTACCCTGACTGGGAATTGAACCGGCTTCTCTTTGGTTCACAGGCTGGCGCTTAATCCACTGAGCCACACTAGCCAGAGCTAATTCGAGTTTTCTTAAATCCTTTTATCCAGATTTTCAAAACAGTGTAGTTATACAAGTGACTCTAAAATTATTTTTATAGACAGTATGATATATTTATGTTCCATGTCTTGTTGATAAATTTTATAGATGTGCTTTCTCTTTGTTTTAATTGATTTAGCTAGCTGGTAATTTATTTCACTAATTTCGTTTTCTTTTGGTATTTCTGTCTCGCACCACATACACATACAAGAACCAGCTCCTGGATTTATTTCTTAGTTTGGCTTCGAATTCTAACATCACATTGTTTTCTCCTTTACATTCGTTCCATTCTCACTTCCTTTCCTTGATTTTTCTGACCATTTCTTAGAAATTTGTTTAAAAATAAATAGCTAATTTATTTCTAATCTTCCTTATTTTAGTGATATAAATACTTAAGATTATGAATTTTCCTTGGATCTTGCCTTGGTCAGACTTCAGAGATTTTTGTCCTTAATGTTCTCATTAGTATTGTTTTCAAGGCACTCTTTAAAAAAAAAGGTTTTATTCATTTATTTTTAGAGAGAGGGAAAGAGAGGGACAAAGAGAGGGAGAGAAACATCAATGTGAAAGATAAACATCAATCACTTCCTTCCTATAAATGCCCCAACTGGGGACCGAACCCAAAACCCAAGCATGGGCTCTGACTGGGACTCAAACCAGTGACCTTTTGCTTTGCAGGATGATGCCCAACTGACAGAGCCACACTGGTCAGGGCTCAAGGCACTCTTAGCTGTGATGTGGTTTTCTCTATATTTTAAGAGTAAAGCAGGAGGACTTTTTTCCAAAGGGTTGAACTATTCATTCATTCCCACTTTTGTTATTTCTAATTTTATCATTTGGTCAGAGAATTCTGCCATAATAAATCAACTCTTTTTTAAATGTAGCAAGCAAGGTTTGCTTTATAATCAATATGGTCATTTTTTGATGCTTTATGGGCCTTTAAAAATAACATGTGTTCTCCCTTTTCAGGATGTATTTCTTTCTCTTTCTCTCCATGTAGATATATAAGTAGTATAACCTTATTAATTGTATCGTTCTCAGAACAAAGTGTTAGGAGGCCAGGCTCTGACGTCAAGCAAGTCTGTGTGACCATGAGCATACCATTAACCTCTCGAAACCCCAGTAAAAGTGGGAGCAGTAGCCCACTGAGTGCATAGCCCTAGAAGGGATTTTGACCTTCATATATACTTCATTCTGATTTTGAATGGAGCCCAAATAGCTGGTCCACAGGAACTCCTACTACAACCCCCTGCCCTGTCTGACGTTCTAGTGCACTAAACTCCCCTGGCCCTCTCACTATTCTATGCCAGTGAAATTCTCTTATTCTTATCCCCAGTGCCTCTGTCCTCTACCCATTCCTTATCTCCATATGTCAAACTCCAAACACCGGACCTTAGGCTGTTGTCTCTCACCCTGAGGGAATATGACATCTGCCTTTAGATGTCATATTCTGCTTGAGAACCATCCTCTGCACTTTTCCCTGTCTACTCCTTGTCCTTTTTCTCCTCAGAGAATGGGGGAAGTAGTCGGCAATGAAGGAGATTGTGACATACTCCCCGTATGTTAATAAGTGTTATTACAGCTATTTAAAAGTCTCATGATGTTACTCACGAGTGTCAAGCCTTAGAATTCACAGGCACCATATAAATCACCCAACCACGTACTGAGTGCGCCGTTCAAACAAGGTGAACCACACAAGGTTACAAAGCTATTCAGTTAACTCATCCCTGTCCAGTTCCCTTAATACTGTCTTATCCCGAATTTGGGGGGGATTTCCTGACTTCTTGGGGATTTTCTTTGTAAATGCATACAGATCAGTTCCTTTCAGTTTTCCCCCAAATTCCCTAAGCCATTGGCTAGAAAATATTTTATAAGATTCTGACTGCTATTGCTCCCTTCATCGCCAGCCACCCACCGTCTCCTTCTCCACCACTGCTTCAGAAAGGAGCACATTCAAAGCTGGCCTCATTCCAGAATTATGAAAAAGACACCAATACTTCAGAAGAGCAGAAACTCTTTACAACACCAGGACTGGGAAGAGGTAACTAAAGGAAAGAGAAAATTGAAAGCCTGTACTGGGAATATCTCTTCTAGGCAAAAAAGGCATTTTTCCCCTCATTGAAACTGTAAGGTTTTGAATTCAACCCAGAGACCCATCCTTGTCTACTTCTGGAAACGGATCTTGACTTCAAACTGTCCAAGTGCTCAGACCAACCCAAAAGCAAGAGAAAGAGCGACTGGGGTGCCACTGATAGGAGGAGCTCCCGAGCCCAGCCCTGGAGGCCTCAGGGGTTCAGGGGCCCACTCAGATTGTGCCGCAGAGGAGGAGAGAGGAACTGGGGTGAGCAAGCATTGTGGCTTTGTCTGTTTCCTGTTTCAGCAAGGTTTCTGTGCAAAAAGAAACACGGTACCAAGAAGAGAATGCTAAGGGGGCCCAGAGCCATGGATTGAGAGCTTGCACTTTACTCAGCTGCTGTCTTGCCCCATCTGAGACCAGAGCCAAGATCTGCCCGGGACCTGGAAAATTTTTCTGAGCTGCTTGGGTTGGAGCCTGGGACCCAAGGTAACTGAAAAGGAGGATGTTTCTGTGTTCAGGTTGGGGTCCTCCGATTCCGGGGTGGAACAGAAGACGCTCCCTCACCCAAGCTTTCCCAGGCTGAAGGGGGAGATACAGGAGCTGATGGTGTAATTTATGAGTGTTAAGTTGGTCTCCAGAGCCACTGGCTACAGCACAGTGGTCGAGTTTCCATCGCTCCGCCCTTCCATACATTAGATTAAATTAGGAGTGAGTCAAATGGCAGGATTCGGGCAACCCAGTGTCAGGGACATAAATTAAATGAACTTTTACAGTGCCCTCCAAAGCAGGGATCCCCCAAACAAGAAGCTGCCTTTCCAGCGGCTTAGGTGTACGCCCTTCTCCCCTCAGTGCACACCGAGCTCTGGGCTCGCAGGCTGACCCACGAAGGGAGCCAGTCACTGCACACACAGCCGGGAAGTGGGAGCAGAGACTTGGGGTGGCAGCGACAAACCGCTGTCGGTTGAAGGGCCGCACCCTCATATCTTCCTCTGGCAGCAAGGAGAGCTGTCTCCAGCCAATGCCACATACCTCCGGAGCTCCAACTGTACCCTGTCATGCTGCCAAGGGACACCCCACAGATGCCAGAAAGCCCGGACAGTGGCCCAGTGACCTCTCTTTGAACCACACGGGGACCAATTCCTTTTTCTTCTCCAGCCTGCCCCTGTCAGTCAGCCTCCCACATGGCTTCTTGTGTGCAAGCAAATCAGAATAGTCAACACATCCCAGAAAGCTGGGTATGACTCCACAACCCGGTGCCCCAGCCTCGGAGTCAGGGAATGCTCCTTTCTCTAAGGAGCCATTTCTACTGCACCTCCCTGTTTGGGTAACAAGCCCTAACACGTGCCCCTGGGGAGGTAGAGCAGGGCAGCATGTGTTTCAGCAGACTAGGGTACACAGTAGTCCAGTGGAGCCCAGAGAGCCCTTCTCTCAGGCTCCATCTCCCCCCCACAGCCCTTCCCTCATCACAGCAGAGGTGGAGGGTGCTCCATAACCGAGGGTCCGCCTCCTCTGTACAGCCTGTGGATTAGCTAGAGCCAAACCTGGCCCCAGGGTGGGGACCTCACAGCCCACAGGAAATGGTGGAGTGCAGGAGGCTGGACACCGATTCTTCTTTGCCTGCCTGCCATACCTAATTGAGAAGGCGGTTGTGTCCAGACCAGAGACAAGTCCTTTCTTCTTCTGGACTGAGGTCAGATGAAGCAGAGTAGTAAATAGGATCCCCTCCGGGACCAGCCTCCCCTCCGTGAGATAAACAGCGCCCCTTCAAAGAGAAAAGGGGTGGAGGGACTGGAGGACGGGGCACTCTTGGTGTTGGGAGTGCTAGGTCAGTGCAGGGCCTGTGTCTTAAACAGCACCGCATCTTCAGTAGCCGAGATCAGCAGGACAGGGGTAAGAATGATCATAGCCTAGGTCTGTTATTAGTATAAAAAGCTAACATGTATTGCGTGTTGTGTGCCAGATGCTTGACATGCGTTTTTTCTTTAATCCTCATAACCTTATGAGATAGGTTCCCATTTTATAAATGAGAAGACTGAAGCTTAGAGATGTTGAATCATTTGTTCCAAGGCACATAGGAAGTAGGTGACAGAGCCAGGACGTGAAGCCACACAGTCGGAGCCCAGAGCCAGGCTCCCCCCGCCTCCCCCACCCACGGCAGAAGAGCCAGGGACTACGGCACGGGATGCCACAGCACAGGTTCTGGACGTGGAGCTCACCTGCACATAATCCCAGTCTCCTCCGTGCAGTCATTTACAATTTAATATGAGTGGGCCTCTCAGGTCCTTAGCTAAGCTTTTAGATTAAAAAAAAAAAAGTGGCAGGTGGGAAGTCAGGGGACCTCTACACAGTAGGGAGAAAAGCCCAAAGGAAGGTGACAGCCAGCCAGGGACGGGACGGCAGAGCAAGCGTGACAACAACCTCACAGCCTGGCCTGCCGTCAGCCCTGCCCAGGACCAGACTACACCCCATCCAAGGCTCAGGCAGTTGGGAGAGTGCAGGGCTTGACCACATAAGACCCCTCTCAGGGGGTGAGGCCACCGCCCCCATTACCCCGGGGAGTGAGTAGTATGATCAGAGAGAGAGCAAGAGTCTTGTGGAGAATTCCAGACCGAGCCAGACGGGCAGCCAAGTTCCACCAGAGGGGCAGAGAGGCGGCTGCTACCCTTTGAGTCTGTTTGGCCTGTAAATAAACCCAAGGGGCTGGAGCCAGCAAAGACCTGCTGTTGGTGAAGTCGGGGTATCCTTATCTGACCGACCCAGGAACTAAACTTCCCAGGGCGGTGGGTAGTGAGGTTGAGGGACCAAGAAGGGAAGTGGCAGCTGTCAGCAGGAGTCCTTCTCCTTCCTGTGACCAGTGGAAGCTGGGCACAGAATTTCTAGTGCTCAGGATTGAGCTCAGCCAAGCTCTCAGAGGGTTCTGCAGAATAAACTGATTTGCAGAAGGTAAGGGAGGGAGAGGAGGGCAGAGAGAGGAGGCACAGAAGAAAGAAGAATCCGGGGCTCATGGGAATGGCAGGCGAGGCCGTGTGAAGGGCCCACAAAGTGTGGCCTCTGCGTGAACGCCTGGGGACTTGGGGTCATTATTTCTGTTTGGGTTTTTATTTGCATTTTTGTCTGTCATGGCCGTAACGAGGCATAATCCGTGTGGTGGTTGGTTGTTGGTTTTAGTGGTACAGTCTATGTCCAGGCTAAAGGAAGCAGACTTGGCACCATACTTAACTCTGACAGGAAGGTGATCCCCCCAAAAGTAGAACTTTCAGCCCAGAGAATTATTGAGCTGGAAGCTCTGAGATGGGCCTTGCCTGCCCTGGGCCAGTGGCAGGTACTTGGCCAACACTGATTCAAGAGGATCTGCACTGAGAGTCAGAGCCGGGCCTGGGCTGGGAGTGGGGTACCAATGGACCGCTGTCAGAACATCATGACTGGATGAATCAGGAGGGTGGTGTCTCCCTCCTGAACCATGCCCAGGACCCAGCTCACAAGCTAGATACTAAGGGCTACGAAGAAAGCAGTGGGTGCTGGTCTCAGAACTGGCCACACCTTGGAGGGGTCTGACTACCCCTCCAGGCCTTGAGAAGAGTCACTTGCTCATTCTTTTAATAACTTGGGCCAAGATAGCAGTATAAATGCTGGCTTTTCCTTTAGATCTGGGAACAGGGAACCAATTTAAGTGGTTCTCTAGGAGTTCCTGGAAAATGCACACATGCCTGCCATCCAAAAGGTAAAAGCTCATGATATTTTTATCGATTATTTCTCATGATCCCCTGGCAGCGTGAAATGTTTGGTCAATGAAGACGTGGCAGCCAGAAAGACCTTTCCCCTTTGCTGAGGAAGAGACAAAGGCCAGAGAAAAGCAGAAATCAGCCAGAGACTGGACCCTGGAGTCCTGACTCTCAGTTTGACATCATCACCTCCTCACTTTTCAGCCCACATGTATGTACTATTTCTGCTCCCTTGGCCAGGGAGATCGTCATTTTTCTGCCCATCTCCTGACCCCTCCCTTTCTCCTCCCTCTTGGCATTTGGCAGACCCCAGCAGCTATTCCAGGAACTGGAAGCCAAGCACAACAGGTGTTCAGGAGCTCATCATGATCGGCCTGGACCCCAGGCCTTCCCCTGGCTTGGCCCGGTGGGCTGAGAGCTATGAGGCCAAATGTGAGCGCCGGCAGGAGACCCGTGAAAGCCGCCGCTGCCGCCCCAACATGACCACTTGCCGCCAGGTAGGGAAGACGCTGAGGACCCAGCAGAGGGAGCAGCTGCAGAGAGCCCGACAACAGCAGTTCTTCAGGAGACGGAACCTGGAAGTGGAGGAGAAAGACAAAACACACAGCTCCCGGACTGGGGAGCAAGGTCTCTCCAGGAGGACAGGCCAGGCGACTGACCTCAAGAAGCCCTTGTCTTGGGCCAACAGGATCTCTGCCCCCAGACAGCAGGTGGGCCATGTCGAGGGACACACTGCTCTCTTGGGGAATGGGTGGGCTCAAGGCCACTGAAAAGTGATTTAAGTTGAATTGCTGCTTCCCCAGGCGTGTAGTAAAGTGTCCCTTAGCCATCCACTTTCTCATTCAGAGATTTCTGTCGTTGTGTTTTCTGTTTGTCTGTTCAGCTACTTTTTGTTTTGCACTTGCCTTATAGGAGAGAAAAATAAGTTTCACAACAACTCCATAGCTAATTCCTAGTATCAGTTCAAATTTAGGCAACCTACATATCTTCTACAGCATTCCTTCATCCATCACTCAATGAGTTTTTATTGATTGATGATTATTGTACGCCAGGTACAGGGGCCAATCTTCTTGATGCCCCTCTCAGAACACAAACACACACACACAGAGACACACCTGTCCTCTATTGTTCTGTGAGCTGTTGCACCCGCCCACCTTCTTTGTCTCGCACCATCCCTCACTAAATTCACTCAGCCAAGACCTGATGTAGTCCAGCAAGCCTTCCCTCGCTTCTCCAGACCACGTCTGCTCTTTTTGGTCCTTATGAGGTTATTAATCCTCGAAGATTAAGTAACCGTTAGAGTGCCCATCAGTCTGACCTGGGAGGAAGCTGTGTTGGCAAAAGCAACAGGGTACATCAAAGTGAGCTCGGCCAGCAAACTGTCTGTGTCTTCCTATCCGCGTTGTGAGCGTGCTGACAGCAGGGGTGGGTCCACTGTATTCCCTGGAAATGCCTGGCACTGTGCCCCACCCCGAGTAGGTATTTCATCACGGTCTCTGAACTAGTGGATCTGTTGTCCACAATAGGGGGCGCTGTTCAGAATATGGTCCTTGAGCCCAATTATTGAAAAAGAAAAAAAAAAAAACCTGTGTACTTTCTAAGGCAAGAAGATTTCCGAATACTTTGGTTGAAAAAAAAATTTAAGGAGAAGAAAATCAGGAAACACAATTAACTAAAGAATTCCATTGAGCCTATCAGTTATGTCAAGTTTTATTGAGATTGAGTCAGTCTGCATGATTAACTACCACAGGCATTTCTTAGCCTTTGATTGTTATGTCACAAGCATAGGGTTTTTAAAGTGTCAGAAGAAAATATAACAAGAGCAGACTAAATTGTGACAACTACTGTTACATCCCTCCCTACAACTCCCTAGTTTACCTTCTCTTCACGTACACCTCAGTGATATCCCAGCCATTACTAAGAGGAAGGAAGCCACTCTAGAATATGGAAGGGACCTGAGAGTTCATTTACCCCCAAACTCATTACATGGACAGGAGACCCAGACCTGGAAAGGGCAGGCTCTGGCCACAGATGCCCTCGCTCCCCACTCAGGTCAGTTCTCCTTCCACATCACTGTGCTGGGCTGCGTAAGTGACTGAGACTAAACAAGGCAGATCGGGACTCTGGAGGGTGTACTGTAACTGCAGACAAGCCCAGCACCTTATTTCCTGGCCTGAGGAGGACCATTCCTGCCAGCCAGGACAAGAGAGGGCAAAAGCAAATAACCTTATAGTATAGCTTTGAAGGCTTGAAGGGGTTACTTTGGTTTTCAGGACCTGAAATTTGATCACTGCTTTATCTTTGTGTAATGGCTGGAGAATCCTGTTCCGGTGGCTCTAGGCTTCCAGCATCCCCCACTTGCTTTCCAGGTGTCAGGGACCAGCTCTGAGGTCCTTCCAAACCAGCATCATCCTCTCCCCAGCGTCTGGAGGGATCTAGCAGATCACCTCCCCTCCCAGGCTGGGGGCCTTCCACCACAGGATATTCCCATCAAGAAGCCACCCAAACACCACCGTGGTAAGAGCAGAACCTCCCTCCCTCGCTGAGGCCTGCAAAGAATCCTGCCACGGCTGGTGGAGAGTCCTGCCCCTCCCCACTTGTCCCACTTTCCCCCCTGGTTCTGAATCACCTTATCCTGCATCTCTCAGGCACTCAGACAAAGGCCAAAGAAGCACAGCCAACAATTAAGAATGATGCCAGTCAGCAAACCAAGTGAGTGCTTTTTGTGTTCCTGATTGTGTTCCTTTTTGTGTTCCAACCCCCTCACACCCCATCCATTCCCCTCTTCTAAGCTTTTACTTGAATACCCTCACCCAGTATGCAGAGAGGAAACACAATGACTTTCCATACCCACCTGAATTTAAAAAGAGGAAGATTTTCCCCACCCTGTCACTTTTTCAGAAGAGAATACAGATGGAATCAACCCACTGCCCCCTGACATGTTTCTTTGATCCATTATCATTTTTGTTTTGATTTCTTCTCTTCCCAGTTATGGAGTTGCAGTTCTGGATAAGGTAAGAAAATCCTTACCCTGGGGGCGGGGGGTTGAATCGGATGGTATATAAGCTCCTCCAAGCTCTGATATTCTGGAATTTCATGATAAACTCAGATAGGTTGGAGGTGCAGGGGGGCAGCGCCTTCTCCCTGGATGAGCATAGACTTGAGGGGCTGGAGGGACTCTGTCTGAACCAAGGAGGAAAATTTACCATCCACAAGTCACCCCGGCTCTGGTTCCATGGTCCAGGCCTCCAGGAGAACAGGAGTCTTCTTGACTACCCTTCTTCTTTCTCCCTAGGAAATCATCCAGCTCTCTGAGTACCTCAAAGTAAGTTACATGTGAACTCTCCCTTCAGTTCTGTCATTCCTCTGCTCCCTCCTCCTCTAGGTTAATTAATCTTACCCTCTTGCATTTTTCTGCCCAGGAGGCCCTACAAAGGGAGCTGGTTCTAAAACAGAAAATGGTGATTCTCCAAGACCTATTGTCTACCCTGGTTCGGGCCTCTGATAGTTCTTGGAAGGTAAGGGAAAATGAAACCTTTGTCTGAACACAGCTCACAAGCATCTAAGTTTGCCCATCTCATTCTTCTTTCCACACTCTCCCCGCAAGAGAAGGGTTTGGGTTGTTTTTTTTTTTTCTCTCTCACTACTGAAGAAGCAGCAGGTAAGGAATGATCCCAAGACCTAGAAGTCAAATAGTAAAGACCTGGAGACCCCAGTGAATATATGGGACAGCCCAGCTAAATCCAGGATCATCAACTGAGAGCAAAGCTGGTACATACCCAGGGAAAACCCAGAACCAAAAGTGGCAAGAATCTCCAATGTTTAATTTGTTAGGATAAAAGAAGGAAGATCCTACCACAGTTAATATTACTAATCGTGGTAAATGTCCCATATTTTTGTATAGGATTCACACCAATATGAACTCAAAGCCAGCATGCACCTACTACTCAGCCCAGACATGAGTCAGAGTGGGAAAGAACCTAAGAGATCACCTAGTCTAATTTTCTCATTTTGCCCATGAGGAAACTAAATGTCAGAGAGGTCAAGTGACCTATCCAAAGTCACACTGCTGGTTAGAGGCAGAACTGGAACTAAAACTCAGACCTCCTGATTTTAGCCCATTTATTCAATAACTATTCATAGATCATGTACTCTGTACCAAGCACTGGAAATAATGAGATTGATTAGAGTTCCTGCTTTTAGAGAGCTTGTGGTTTTGCTGGGGAGACAGATGATTAAACAATGCAGGGACAGGACAAGTAAAAGAAATGCTTTCAGGACATAGTAGTATACAAGAAGGAATAAATAACTCTAGAGAAGAGGAGAGCCAAGGAAGTATGTACAGCTATATAAGTGTTTTCTAGGCAGATGTGGAAGAAGGAACTATACTCTGGGCAGGGGGTATGGCACAGGCAAAGATGAAGAGACATGACAGAATCTAGTACAATGAGTGGTCAATTTTAAATCTCAGGACCCCTTTATACTCTTTTAAAAAATGTATTGAAATCCCTTCAATTTTTTTATATTTACCATATTAGAATTTATCACATTAGAAATTAAACAAGGAATCTTAAAATATATATTAATTTCAAAAATAGTAAATCTATTACATGTTAACCTAAATTTTATATTTTTATGAAAAATAAGTATACCTTTAAAAATTAGTGAGAGGAGTAACATTGTTTTAAAGTTTTTAAAATATATTTTATTGATTATGCTATCACCATTGTCTCAATTTTCCCCCTCCTCCCCACACAGTACCCCCTTCCCTCTAGCAATACCCTCCACTTAGTTCATGTCCATGAGCCACGCATGTGAATTCTTTGACTTGCCCATTTTTTATACCATTCTTAACATTCCCCTGTCTATTTTGTACCCAGCAATATTGCTTCTTAATCCCTGTACCTTTCCCCCTCCCAGCTGATTACCCTCCAATGATCTCTATACCTGTGATCCTGTTCCTATTCTGGTTGTTAGCTTAGTTTCTTTTTTTGTTTTTTGTTTTTTGTTTTTTTTTGGGGGGGGGGTTTGTTTAGATTAAGTTGTTGATAGTTGTGAATTTGTTGCCTTTTTAATGTTCATAGTTTTGATATTTTTCTTATATAAGTCCCTTTAACATTTCATATAATAATGGCTTGGTAATGATGAACTCCTCTAGCTTTACCTTGTCTGGGAAGCATTTTATCTGCCCTTCCATTCTAAGTGATAGCTTTACTGGATAGAGTAATCTAGATTGTAGGCCATTGCTTTTCATCACCTTGAATACTTCTTGCCACTCCCTCCTTGCCTCAAAGTTTATTTTGAGAAATCAGCTTATAGTCTTATGGGAACTCCTTTGTCAGTAACTCTGCTTTTCTCTTGCTGCTTTTAAGATTTTCTCTTTATCTTTTATTTTTGGCACTTTAATTATGATGTGTCTTGGTGTGGTCCTCTTTGGGTCAAACTTGTTAGGGATTCTCTCTGCTTCCTGGACTTCTATGTCTATTACCTTTGCTAAATTAGGGAAGTTTTCTTTCATTATTTTTTTAAATAAGTTTTCAATTTTTGCTCTTGCTCTTCCTCTTCTCCTCCTGACATCCTTATGATTCAGATGTTGGCTCTTTTGGAGATATCCCAAAGTCTTCTTATACTGTCCTCATTTTTTGAATTCTTGTTTCTTCTTTCTGTTCTAGTTAAATGTTTATTTTTTCTTGTGTTCCAAATCATTGATTTGAATCCTGGCTTCATTCCCTTCACTATTGTTTCCCTGTAGATCTTTCTTTATTTCACTCAGTGTAACCTTCATTCCTTCCTTTATGTTGTTGCCATACTCAATGAGTTCTTTGAGCATCCTGATCACCAGTGTTTTGAACTCTGCATCTAATAGGTTGGCTATCTCTGTTTCATTTAGTTCTTTTTCCAGGGTTTTGTTCTGTTCTTCCATTTGGATCATATTTCTTTGTCTCCTCAATTTGGCAGCCTCCTTGTGTTTGTTTCTGTGTATTAAGTAGAGCTGCTTTTACTCCCTATAAAAGGTACCTGTGAATTGTGTGGGGCAGAGTCTTAGGTAATCAACAAGGCGGGGCAACGTGCCTCACTGCTTTGTGGCTCAGTGTAGGGGGAGGGCTCAGAGAGGGGACTGTGCGGCTGCCTGGCTTCAGGGGGGTTGCCCTTCACTCGCCCTGTTTCCAGTCACTTTACCCACTTCACATGTGGGACTGGCACCCTTCTGACTGTTGCCCTGGTGCTAAATCCCAGACTGGGTGGGTTTGCATATATTTTAAGACCATGCAGGCCTGTTAAGTAAAGTTTCCTGAAAATCCAGCAGTTTCTTCCACTTCCCTAATCCCTACTGGTTTTTACAGTCAGAAGTTATAGGGTTTTATCTTCCCGGTGCTGGAACCCTGAGCTCTGAGGTCTGGCCTGCTGCTGGGATCGCACGCTCTCAAGGTATCCCTTGATTTTTATCTACCACATATGGATGTGGGACCACCCATGCCCGTTCTGCCACTGCCACCACCTTCCCACACCACACAGCATCTCCTCACCTCTCCACCCCATCTCCAAGTCTCTGCTCCTTCTACCCTTCTGGATGAATGTGGCTTCTTTAAACCCTTGGTCCTTGGACTTCCATACAGTTCAATTTGTGACAGCTCTCGGTGTTATTTGTTTTGAGATTTAGTTGTAATTCCTTTGTGTGGTTATGTGAAGGGGCAAAGCGTGTGTGCCTATGCCTTGCTCTTGACCAGAAGCCTCACATTGTTTTAAACTTTTGCAAACCTTTTTAATCTCTGGCTGAACAGAAGACAGCTAGAGTCTCATATTTGCTTCTGCATTCTATCTGTTGCAACACATTGATTTGGTTGAAGCATATGACAAAAATCTGTCCTCAAACAGATCTGTAGTTAGAAAAGGGAAGACCTTCCTTGAAAGGATCTCAGGGATTCCCAGGGGTCTTCAGACCCCACACTCTAACCCCTAGACTAGTATGTTTAGAGAGCTACAAGCAGTTTGACACCATCAGACCATATAGCACCAAGTGCAAAGAGAGAACACACACCCTCACGGGCCTCTGTGAACATCTAACCTACCACGTAGATGACTTGTGCTTAGCCAGAGAGAGGAAGTGAGAGGCATGGAACCAAACCAGCTGTTTGCAGTGATATAAAAAAGATTTCCTAAGCTCAGCCCTCTCTCTTCACATCCATCATTGTACCTGGGTTTAGGTATCTATGTTTAGGACTCCTGATTGGTAAGGAAGACCTTTTCATCAGAGTAGGGAGCCTGAGGCAGACATCTGTGCATGCCGGTGGTTTTCAGTGCTAAACTAAATTGAGGTCATCTCATGCATTGATTCAACAGACATGTGATACGTTCCAACTGTGTGCTGGGCCCTGTGCTACAGGGGAAAATGAGGAACAGGGTCTTTGCTGCCAAGAAGCTCACACTCCAGCAGGGAAGAGAGGGACATGGAATAAAGAACTCTAATACAATGTGATAAAGTTATAACAGCAGTGTCTACAAAGTGACACAACAAAAAGAGAGCAAATTATTCTGCCTGAGATGGGACAGGGTAGGTTCTAAAGGATGGGGACCATTTTAGCTGGGTCCTGAAGGATGAATAGGAGTTTACCAATATGGAAGTGGGAATGATGATGAGGAAGAAAAAGCAGAAAGATAAAGAAATCGGAATGACTACAGGCCTACATATGACAAAACATTGGATATAGCAGAGTGTGGCTGAAATGAAGAGATCATGTCAGAGTACTTCAAGGATAAGACCAGAAATGACCTCAGACAGGTCTCTAGAATTATGAGGTTTAAACTTTGTTTTTAAAGATTTACTTATTTATTTTTAGAGAGGGAAGGGAGGGAGAAAGAGAGAGAGAAAGAGAAACATGAATATGCAGTTGCTGGGGGCCATGGCCTGCAACCCTAGCATGTGCCCTGGCTGGGAATCGAACCTGCGATACTTTGGTTCGCAGCCCATGCTCAATCCACTGAGCTATGCCAGCCAGGCGAGGTTTAAACTTTTACTGTTGAACATGTAATCTCCAACTTAAATAATGTATGGACTCTACTTTAGAAAGAAAACACAGATATCTCAGATCCATGAGTTGAGTGCTATCCCTAGTTTGGGAAACACTGCTATGGACATTAAGTAGGGTAACCATGGAATTACGCTTTATTCAGAAAGTCCTACAGCATCTGGCCCATGCTTAGAAGAAACTCAGTTAGAGTGATGAGATCTGCATTTCAAAAGGTGAGGACCCTGGCTCCTGGTGGGGGTGGGGGTGGTGAATACTTAAAATATCCCAGGTAGGACAGAGTCAGCGCTTGAGTGACAGCAAGCTGGATGGGAATGGGGGGCAGGGGAGACGTTAAGAGGCATTTTCAATGTAGACTCTGAGGGGCAGTTTCATTCCACACTCCAGCAGGCAAGCAGGAGTTCCCCTGGCTGTGGTTTTCTCCCTCCCTTCTGTCCATCCCACCCACTACTCACCCTCCCCTTCTTTGTCCTCCCCACCAACCCCCAAGCTTCCTGTTTTTAAGAAAAATGGTCTCAGACTTTTCAATTAAGACTTTTCAGTTAGTTTACCCCCAAAACAAGACCATTCAGCCTTCTATTCTTTCCATGGAAACCTCAGCTTCCATGAAAGGATAGCCCCAGTCTCTGATATGGTGGTATTTGGGAAAAATAATTGGGAGGATGTGGCCAGAACAGGGATGGGGCGCAGTTCAAGCCTTTGTTGCCCCCCACGACCCCCCCCACGCCCCCACCCCCATCTGGCCTCCATGATTTGAATATTCAACTTCAAATGCAGAGCAGCTCACAGCAAGCCCTGATAGAACTCCAAGGATCAGCTCCCTGTATTGCCTCCAACCTCCAAGTTGACTCTGGGCCTTTGGTTTGCAACAGGCCCTAAGGCACGACCAGAGTCCTAAACTGGGTACAACCTTCAAAGCAGAGACAGTTCAGGCAGGAAAGAAAGCTAGCTTTCAGTGTTGGGCAATACAAAAACAGAAGGGGGCACAAGTGTGTTTTGAAGTTCCGCAAAGTAGAAATGAGATCTTGAGATGACAGTGCAGAAGAGGATTGGCTGCAAGTCCTAAGCCACCTCTGCTACAGCAGAGATGAGCTGGGAGCTAGCACTTCTGCGGTGAGGTGCTAGCGTTTCTGAAGAACAGAGGCAGGGGAAAGCCAAGCAGAAGCAGCCGCTGAAGCCCTCAGACCGGCACCAGGTGTGTATGGCCTTCACCTTGCTCCCTCTTCCAAATAGGGGTACTGTGCTCCCTGAGCCCTGGTCTCCAGAGGCGCGATTGCCCAATAAAAGTTCACAGTAGGCCTGTAAACAGTGCTTCTCCCCACATACTGTACCACTAGGCTTCATGCGGGGCGAGCTGGGACTCAGACCAGGAAACTACATGACCCATTTGCAACAGCTTGGCTGCAACTGTACTGCCTGCCTTGTGAAGTCTGGGAAGGCAGAGCTGTAGACAAGAGTATTTTTAAACCCCAGACTTGGGTGGCCCTCCCTCCCCCCCCTCCCCACCTCCCGGCCAAGGGGCTATCGTGAATTGAATTGTATTGCAAGATGAATGTAATACAATGAATGTAATACATCACAAGATGAAATGTAATCTGGGGTGTGGCTAAAATACAAAAACAATTAGAAGAGGTAAACTAGGGGTAGAAGACTGGGGGAAATGTAGGAATATTGCTTTGAGCTGGTCTGTTTTCTTTTCAAACTATACAAGATAAACCTTAAACTTGGTGGGTTTGATTACAATCTGCATAGTAAGAGTTTAGGCAAAAGAAAATGCTCAGAGTCAGAAGATCTGAAGCCGGAGATGGGTGTGGGAGGGAGTGGATTGCAGCTCATTGACAATGAACAGGCCACTCCAGGGAATGCAGCCCTGTAACCAGTCATTCCAAAGCCCAGAACAGTGGAAGTCTTTGTCCATCTCTTTTATCTGCCCCAAAGCCTGTGGTTATTGTATGTCCAAAATCCCTGACTCTCAGCCCTCACAGGAGACACTATGAAAAACATTAATAGCAGGAGACACTTTGAAAAATTATTTTTGGCAAAGCCTTTTGCTTTTGCAAGGCCCAGCTGAGTAATACAGGAAGCAGAAAGGGTGGGGGCACCTCCTGGCTCCCCTGGTTAGAAGAATCAGCCAAACAAGAGCAAAACAGGAGCTGTGAGATACCACTTCCTGCCTAACCCAGGTGCCCTGAAACTCGCTGAGGGGGTCAGACCTCAAAACAAAGTCCCGTCCTCTACCCCCAGGTTGTTATAGACTGGAAAGCATTATGAAGGTTGGAAACTCGCCTGACAAGACCCATGGCACCTCAGGCCTGAGGAGACATGTAATTTCTAGACTTCACAAGTGTCCCACAGGCCCTGCTTAGAAAACGCCAGGAAAGGATATGAAAGTCACTTGCTGTTACTGCTAAAGAGATCCACAGCAGTCCCCTTGGGAAACCAGTTTTCCCTCCCCTCTCCCTGATTTGCTCACCTATGGAACCTTAAATGAAACTCAGAGTTAGAAGAACAAAACATCTACCTGGGGGAAAGGGACAAGTCTACAGGCGGAGGGAAGAACAAAGCAGCAAGGAAGTTTTTAGCTACTCAGCAGAAATACTGAACACCTAATCTCACCCCTGCGATTAGCATCCCTCTCGCAATGTCCCAAATGCCTTTAGACAAACCCAGTTTATGAGTAAATAGAACGTGGCTTTCTGGAAAACCCTCTCACCACCCTCCTTCCCACCCCACTCCCCCCACCACACACACACACCTTGCATTAATATCTCTCCTCCATTTCTTGCTTTCTTAAAGAATTTCTCATATTGAGTCGAGGGATGGGGCAGGGAGGGGAGTATATTAGTTTGTTAGGGCTGCTATAACAAAGCACCAAAGACTGAATGGCTTAACCAACAGAAATTTATTTTCTTGCAATTCAGAAAGCTAGAAGTCTGAGAGTGAGATGCTGACAGGATTGGGGTGTTTTTCCTAAGGCATCTCTCCTTGGCTTGGAGATGGCTGTTCTCCCCTGCTGTCCTGATGTACCAACCTCCTCTTCTTATGAGAACACCAGTCATATTAGAACAGGGCCCACCCTAATTACTTCATTTTAACTTAATTACCTCTTTAAAGATCCTTTCTACAAATACAGTCACATTCTGAGGTACTGGGGTTAGGATATCAAGATGTGAATTGGGGGAAGAGGGACCAAAATTCAGCACATAACAGTGGGTAAGGGAGAGAATGTACATTCTCCCAGGGAGGGAAGACTCCTTTAATCTTATTGGCCTGTATTTTAGAAGGAAAGGTCCATGTACAAGACTGAGAGAAGGTGAGGAGTGCAGAACTACCCAGACAGAGAGCAAAGAGAGGTCATGAGAGAAGTAAAGGACGCCTTAGTAGCTTTCCTTCAAGTGGACCCCTGATAGAGATATGGGAGAAACCCTGGTTCTTCTCACCGACACAGTAAAGAATTACAGATCAGCAAACCTATTAGCATGCACGAAATGTTTATTAGTGCTAAATTTTAATGGGAGAGCAAAAGCAAGGTGGCAAGAGCAGGAGGGACAAAAGCAGGGTAGCCAGAAGCCAGGTGGCCAGCACCTGGGTGGCCAGAGCCCAGATGGTCAGGGGCCTGGTGGCCAGAGTGGCCAGAGGCCCCCCATGTGGCAGGAGAAGAGAGTCCTTTGTTCTGAGGACTTGTATAGTTGGCACGATGAGGGTGAGGGAGTTCCATTTTCATTGGCGGGTAAAGATGATGCTACTTTTCCATGGGGACATAACTGCCTAAACACACGTATGGGTGGGGGTCTGTTAGCCTGAATCCTTATCTTGCTCCAGACTCTACTTGCTCATTTTGTATGTGACGGGAGACAGGCAGTTAAACAAAGCTGATTATGGGCTTTTTCTTTTGGGCACTGTAGTCCTTCCCCTTCTCCCTTCTAGGCTGTGGGATAAATACATAGTCTCAAGGTTTTCCTCTTCCTGGCTAGTGGGGATGATACACACAGACTTTCAAGGTCTCCCCCATCACACACTTACAGTTTCACTTGTTTTTTGGGATGCCTGGCAGCCTTATCAAACCAGGTTCTAGATTACTGGGTCAACATGCAAGCTTTGCTTTTAGCCTCCTGTATTAAATTCTTTGTTAGATTGTAATGGTGAGGGACTTGCCTCCATTTCCCCTTTGGCCACTCATTCACAGTTGCTACCTAAGTGTTAAAAGGTGTTGCCTGGCAACCAGGATGCTATAGTTGCTGGCCAGCAACAGCAGAGCAGTCCCAGAGTTCTTCCTATGCTATGTCTTGCAACAGCAAGATACCCTGAGCCAATTAATAGAAGACCCCAAGGTACAAAGAGGTCTTTGGGGGTTAGGCTGACTCTTCCTTCTCCTGTTCCAGAAAAAGAGGGAAAGATCCTCTTCTACCCAAACATCTTCTGACATCTCTTCTCCTCCCTATCTCTTGAAAGAGTTCAGTTCCCCAAACATTGAGCACAGACTGTGTTCTAGGTGGTAGGCTGGGAATATGGAACAAAATATTTTGCACACTATACTTTAGCCCAAACTCTACTTACTCAACCCCTTTTGTTCCAGGGACAGCTTAATGAAGACAAACTGAAGGGCAAACTGAGGTCCTTGGAAAACCAGCTGCATACCTGTACCCAGGTAAGCATTCTGGAGAACACTACCAACCCAGGAATCTAGAATTAAAGGAGAAGGCTTGAACCTCAATCTTACTCTCTAAAAGTGCCACCTGATAGAGATAAAGGCATCCACTCCTACTCACCCAGTTGAGTGGATAACTTTGCCATTTTCACTTTGATCCCCAATTTACCATTTGTCCATGGTCTTCGTCCATCCACCTCTCTCTTTCTCCCAGTGCTTTTCCCCTCACGCCCTGGGAAGGAACTTGAGCACCAAGCACTACGCTGGCTCCAGGGCAACCTTGAGAATACCTGGAACTGTAGGAGGGAGCCTTTGGTAAAGATTCACACCATGCCGGTAGACCTGCACAGATCCCAATCTTTGAACAGATGAGTTGAACATTCTAATGAAATTTTGCAAAGTAATTTTCACTCAGTGGGCAAATTTTATCTCTTAGCAACCTGTTGGAGAAAGTAAGACTATGACTTTGTCTTCCCTGCGACATTATTATCCAGCTTCAGCAATCTCTTGATTGGCCTTACTTTGGATTACAAGAGATAGAAAGAAATTGGCTTTCGCTTGAGAAGCGATGCATTTCTAGTAGTTGGGGACCTGTCAAGGAAGAGGATGAGGTGGAACAGGAAGTCTGCTCCCATCTGGAGTTAGGGAGATAAAGCCACACAGTTGGAATCTTGCAGGAGAAGGGTTTATAGTCTGTAAATTTGCTGATCCGCAACTTCTACTTTTTCAGTATGACCTCCTTTGTCAGGCTCTTAGGAACTAAATGATGCCAACCAAGCTCATAAGAGACTGATATACAATCCTGAATGCCAATGAATTCATTTTCTGTAGAGGACAAAGCTGGCCAGTGACCAGCAGAGTTAAGTTCAATAACTGGGACATACCTATGTATGACTTCAACCAATAATTCTTGGATATGCTTTCTAATAAAAATTCCAAGAACATAAGACCCATTCATATTTAATCCAAATTTTCAGATGATTACAAAGCTAAATGGGAATGATTTCATATTGATCCCTAAATTTGCATTATCTAGGTTATTTCTAACCCAGTGGGTAATCCAGAATTGACAGTAAAAGCTGCCTGTGTTCCCCAAAATCACAGGGCATAAAGATGAAAGGTGCCCTGGCTGGTGTAGCTCAGTGGATTGAGCATGGGCTATGAACCAAAGTATCGCAGGTTTGATTCCCAGTCAGGGCATATGTCTGGATTGCAGGCCACGGCCCCCAGCAACCACACGTTGATGTTTCTCTCTCTCTCTTTCTCCCTCCCTTCCCTCTCTAAAAATAACTAAATAAATAAAATCTTTAAAAAAAAAAGATGAAAGGCATGGGGACATCAAGACCCCCAGTGAATTCACAAAATTGCTCTTTTGTCTTTTTCTTGACCCTGAAGCCAGGAGGAATTTTTAAATGCAAATATATTAATTTTAAAATATTTACTGGGGATCCCTGAAGCTACAAAGATCATTAACTAACTAACTAACTAATTAATTAATTAAAAATTGTTAAAGCATGCTCCCTGCCTCTTCCCTGAGGAGTTTACAGTGTCATAAGAGAAACAGATAGAGTGGAAAGGTATAGGCATACAGGGGGTACTATGTGAACACTAAGAAAGGCTACCTAGTCCATAATTAGCTGGGGGTAGGGATAGTTAATTAAGATTTATCAGAACTTACATGATTCTTAGGCTGAATCTTGAGCATGAGTAGAAGTTAACCAGATGGAAAGGGTGGGTAAGGATGCTCTAGGAGGCAGAAGCAGCTCTAGGGGCAAAGGCAGAGACCAGACAGTACAGTGCTCAGGGAATTTGCAAGCAGTTCAGCTTGGGTGAGACAAGCATAGAATGAAAGTCTAGGCTTATAAGTAGAAACCATGCCAAGAAATTTGGACCTGATCCTGAGGACACTGAGAATCCAGCAAGATTTAAGCAAGTTGTGATGTGATCAGATTTGCATTTTAGAAAGAATGCTGTAGCTGCAGGACTAAAAGAGTTTGAAGGGTGGCAAGTCTTAAAGATGGGGAGACTATTGTATTAATCCATATAATAGTATTACTAGAGTCTGAACTAATTAGTGGCAATAGGGATAGAGAGGAAATAGGTGTGAGTTGTAAAGGAGGTTAACTTGACAAAGGGTCTTAACCAACTGAATACTGGGAGAAAGTAAGAAAGAAATCAAGTTGACTCTGGTTTAGGGCTTGGGAGACTGGGTGCATGGTGATGCTGGTCATTGAGGCAGGGGAAGCCCAAGAGAAAGAAGCAGATTTAGGAAGATAATTTTGCGTTGGAAATGCTGCATTTCAAGTGCCTGTGGAAGGCCTGGGAGAAATGCCCAGCATGCCACGGGCCCTGTTTATTAACCCCACTCACCCTTCACATCACCCGAGAGACTTCGCTACCCACCTCTAGCCTAGAAGAAAAGCTTCACCAGATTACTGGTATCTCTGCCCTGTGGGCAAGGACCAAGTTCTTTTCATTTCTGTAACCCAGCTCAGGTTTTGGCACACAGAAACTTAATGTGTATTTGTTGAATTGCATCAAATTTACAGAATTATTCCCCTTGGGGAATGAAAAAGGTGCTAATGGAGATGGAAGACCAGAAAAACAGCTATGAGCAGAAAGCCAAGGAATCACTGCAGAAAGTGCTGGAGGAGAAAATGAGCGCAGAGCAGCAACTGCAGAGCACACAGGTTCGGGGATCTGCATAGTACTTGGCACTGGGCACACCAGGGCAGCTCTGGGAGCCAGCTGCACAACTCCAGGGAACCCCAAGGTACTACCCTCCCCCTTGTCTCCCTCAGCGGTCCCTGGCTCTGGCTGAGCAGAAGTGTGAAGAGTGGAGGAGCCAGTACGAAGCTCTGAAGGAAGATTGGAGGACCCTGGGGACCCAGCACAGAGAGCTGGAGAGCCAGTTCCATGTGCTCCAGTCCAAACTGCAGGTACGGGGCCCTGGGGGTGAGGTGGTGGGGAGAGGGGGCAGGATTTAGGGGAAGAAGGAGTGGTGACAGCAATGATGGAGAGAAGCTGTCACCTGGGTTGGTGTCCTCAAAGGCAACTGAGACCATCTGGCTTTCAGTTCCTCACTGCCCACTTTGCACCAGTCTCACTGTTTTGGCTCTGAAATCTAATTTGCAGTGTAGCAAGGACATCTGCCCTGCTGATGCAAATGAACTCAGAGTTCATGGAATGACACAGTCCAAATGCAAAAGGCTGAAATATTCATCGGCCTACTGTCATACCCCAACTCACCCTCTGCACCCCATCCCAGCAGAGCAGCCAGTTCAGAAATCACTTCTACGGGCAGAGAGCAAATGTCATTAATTTACTTATGGACAGAGTATTAACTAACACACCCTGCCATGTCCTTGGCATTCTCAACGGTTTCTCATCTGCATTTACCTTGGAGACCTTAACTAGCTTCCTAAGCCTCAGTTTCCTCATCTCTAGAATGAGAATAGCTGTATCAAAGATGGCTGTGAGGGTTAAGTGATGTGATCCATGCAAAGCACTAAGCACAGTGCCTGGTACATATAAGCCCTCAGTAAATATTAGCCATTATTATTTTTCCTTACTTGCTTTGGAATTTTTGAGGACCCACCTCAAAAGTTTACCTGATTTTACTGAAGTGAAATCTGACCACAGGTCACTTGATGAGAGGGTGTCTCATCAAAGGAGCGAACCCAGCTGGCCATGGCGTTGCAACCATACCTCAGTCACCTACCAGGCAACGCTTATAAAGATCTTTTTCTTCAATTGTTTGTGAAAATGACACCACAAAAAAAAACTGATAGTGCACAATGAAAAATAAAGTGAAGACATCCAGAAGAACGATTCAATATTCTTTAATTTGGGCATTTACCCAAATGAGTCCCTTGTGAATATCAAAAAGAAAAATCTAATGCATTATTTGTAATAAGAGGAATAGAGCAAGGCAAAGGGAAGAAATTGTTTTAACTTTCCTATTTTTCTATTTCCCTAACGTTCCCACCTCTAAAATTCTACAATGTTCTACATTTTTTTGTCTTCCGGGGGATCTGCCCCCACCCTCTACCCTAGCACTGACCTGCTCCTGTGTTGGCCCCTCTTCCTCCCTGCAGGGGGCAGACAGTAGAGACCTTCAGATGAACCAGGCCCTGCGACTCCTGGAGAACGAGCACCTGGAGCTGCAGGCCAAGATTGAGTGTCTGCAGGGGGACAGAGACCTGTGCAGCTCGGACAGCCAGCTCCTACAAGGTACCCTTCTCCCTGGGGGCCTCTGGCTGAGTGAGCCCAGAGAAGGAAACCGGGTGGAGAGAAAGGCTTCACTCAGTCTTTCCTTTGTTTGGTTGACTTTAAGATTTCATTTTACCTTAAGGGAAAGGCAGGGCTATTTTAATCGCCCAAGACTGAAATATAAGTTTGCAGCACTAGAGAATCTTGTAGTATCAGCTCTCTTTTCCAGCCCCTCCCTCCGGGCCAGATCACAGCTGCTCCCACATCAGTCACGTGTCAGTTCCACATTCCTAATTTGAAAGGTCAGTTGAAAGGTTGCCGTCACAGCCTGTGCAGTTAGCTGAGGACCAAATTGTACGTAAATACAACACCTAATCCAACCCCACTTGTTAATTCAATGACACCCAAGGTATTTGGTTCTGGTTTACCTCTGCAGAACTAGGAAAAGTAGAACTTCCACCTGACACATATCAGAGGCCATGGTCCAGGCAGTACCTATTACGAATTCCCACCCTCGGGTATCAAGTTCATTAATCTTGGGTTCTTCTACTTTCGTTTGCATTATTTCATTTTTAGATCAACTAAAGAGGTCAGAGGAGGAGAAACTCGCCCTGGTGACCAAAGTACAGCAGTTGCAGAGTAAGTTCCCTCCCCGGGTTCTAAAAGTAACACAGGTGGCTTTTGGGTGTTCCTAAAACACCCAAAGGGGCTGGGGGGTGCGGTCTTTGGCATCTCCTCTACTTCTGTGCATTTTCAGATCCTCTTCTTGTGAAGTGAGGTCATCTACATAGCTCTTCACAAGTTATATATTAACCTGTCCTTTTTTTCCCTTTTCTACTTCTCTCCTTCCATACCAATGACAACCACCTGCATCTCCCCCAGAACTGCACATTTTTTAAAGTGTGAAGTTTTCCAAGGTAGTTCTTATTTTGTGTATTATTACGTACATGAATATGTCACATTGAGCTCTGTCACTAGGAATGGCTCAGAAATAAGCACACACTACAGATGCCTCAGTCCACTTCAAAACTACATATTGGCGCCAAAGGGGAAAGGGGGCCTTTCATAAGTAGACAACTTTCTGAAAGATTTTATTTATTTTTAAAGAGAAGGGAAGGGAGAGAGGGAGAGAAACATTGATGTGGGAAACATCGACCGACTGCCTCCCGTATGCGGTTCAATTGATCCCACAACCTGGGTATGTGCCCTGAATGGGAATCAAACCCACAACCTTTTGGTGCATGGGATAATGCTCCAACCAACTGAGCCACCTGGACAGGGCAAAAAGTAGACAATCTTTGAGAAGCTGGAGAACCTGATTAAATAAATAGCTCTGCTGGTTGCCTACCACCTTAACGTCTGAGATTGGATGAGAAGTTTCATGCACACAGCAATGAATATTAAAATAGCAAGGCAACCACAGGGAAAAGGGAGAAGAAACACCAGCAGAAGCTATGCTCCTGCAGACCAGGCACTGAGTGGTCAAGTCACTGGAAAGTCATGCCTTTATTTATCCAATGCGTATTTAATGAGCCCCTACCAAGGGCCAGGCACTCCAGCTGTGCAGAGGATACAGTGACAAACATAACTGATGAGGATCCTTCCCTCGTGAAGTTTACATTCTAAGTAAGCTCCACAATGAAGTATGGAGTTTTTATGAGCAAATAAAATATGTAGCAGGTAGTGTAACTACTGTGGAGAAAAATAAAGCAGGTTAAAGGGAAATATTTGCTATTTTATCCAGGGCCATCAGGGAAAGCCCTTCTTCTAGGGTAACATTTAAGAAAGACTTAAGGGTAAAGACATGGCAGGAAGAGATATAAGGATGGTGTATTCAGAACATAGCACCACAGACTGGGTGACTTCAAGAACAGTTTATTTTCTCACAGTTTGGCAAGCTAGAAAGCCAAAATCAAGGTGTCCACACAGGCTTGGTTCCTTCTGAGGTTGTGAGGGAAGCATCTGTCCCACGATTCTTTCCTTGGCTTGTAGACAGCTGTCTTCTGTGTCTCCTCATACATCCCCCGTCTCTGCATGTCTGTGTCCAAAGGCCCCCTTCTTACGAGGATGTGTCACATTCGATTAGGGCCACACTAATGTCCCGTTTTAACCTCTGTAAAATACCGATCTCCGAAAAGGTCACATTCTGAGGTACTGGGAGTTAGGACTTCAAATTACGAATTTGGGGGTAACCCCATTCAACCAGTAACAGATGGGAGCATCTTCAATAATTAAGATTCTGGGCAAAGTTCTGAAAATACACCCCCTGCAGTGAATATGCTAGCACAGACGAGCTTCTTGTGTTTGCCGACAGGTCTGCTGCAGAGCCAGTCCACACAGCTCCAAGAACAGGAGAAACTCTTAACAAAGAAAGGTCAGCAAATTTACTTCCACAAATTCTAAGACACTGGCTCTTGCCTTGCCTGCCTAGAGGCACGGGGATGGGCTACTTGACTTCTTGGAGTTCCATCCAGTTCTGGGAGTCTGTGAGGTCAGGGATCTGGGGAAGCTTCTTAAGGGCTAATCTCTGGCTCTGAGGACAACTAGTTAGCCTCCTACTGTGAGAGCTGGTAAACTGTGAAAGAGGATTTCTACTCCCCCTGAAAACAGATGTCTGTGTTGAACATTTCAATAAATTGATTTTGAACTCAGGATTTCATGTCAATTTTTACACCTGCCTTTCCAAGTCACATCCAACCTCCCAAGTCTAAACCATGTTGCACGCAACAGTTACCTCACTGTCAGCCCTGAAGAGTCTGCCGCCTTAGCTTCCAGAGAAGAACTCGTCACGTGGTGTACGGAGGGGCAGAAGCTCCTCACCTACCCACTGCACGTAGCCTTCTGTTCACTTCTCACAATCACTGGGTAACATAGAAGGCAGAAATTATTATGCCCACATAGCAAGGATAAGAAAATGTAAGTCTACGGTCATACAAATTAAAGGCACAGCTAAGACAAAGATTCAGAATTTCTAACTTTTAGTCCAGTGTGCTTTTCACAGGACGAAGACTGTGAGGTGGCTGAAATGCCATCTTTAACCACATGAAGATGAATTCTAGGATATGACTGCCTTCTCGTGACTGAACGGAGAATGAAGGGAAAGGGAGTTGTGTTGAGGCATCCAGCAAACCTACCAGACTAACTAGAAAGGATGTGGCCAATAACAGAAGAAACTGGATTAATAAATGTGCTCTAATGAAAGTATCTGGCATTAAACAGGACTGATACAAAGAAAAGTAAGGGCCAACCTTGCCCTCCATGGGGCTCAAATTCCAGCTCTGTCCAGGCTGAGCGGGGGCTCTCAATGGGAGTTCTTTAAAAGTCAGAGAATTCTGTTCCATGAATTGTAACCAAAGACAGACCCTCCCTTTTTCCCTCCCCGCCCTTTCCCTCCTTGGGGTTCTGTCAGTGACAGGGCCCTTCCTCGGAGGTGTGGGCCTCACTGTCACTGGGAATGTGGCTGCTTTTTTAGATCAGGCTTTGTCTGAGTGGAGTCCAAAGCCCTCCCATAACGAAGTGGAGCCTGAGGGTACAGGGAAGGAGCAAGACTGGGATTTCAGAGACCAGCTGCAAAAGACGACTTTGCAGCTCCAGACCAAGGAAAAGGAGGTGAGACACGACCTCAGTTAGTGAGGAGCTCAGCCCACAGTGGCAGGGAAAGCTGCTGGGAGGCCGGTGGAGAGCAGGGATTTCAACAGCTACTTGTAACTAGATGCCTGAGGGCATTCATTTGCTTATAAAAAATGTCTTTGCTTTAGGGTTAACTTGTCAATCTTTCCCCTTCCTCATTTACACCAATCCTTATCCACTTTATTAGTTACCTTGTACAAAGTCAACCTAAATGCAAACATATTTAATAAACATTAACTCTTCAATCTTCACCTTACACTATGTTAAAACTTGATAGTCTTTTAAGTAACAAAACTCTTCACTCTTCCCATCTACAAACTCCCAGACACGTACCCTTGGCTACTGGCAGAGAGACTTGGACTTTGATCACTTTCAGGTCTTCTGTACTGTAAGCACTTCATTTTTGGTGTCCCCATTTACAAAACACGTGCACACTGTCACATGAACGTATGAAAGCACTTACTTATATAATACGCATTATAATCAATCATGTAAATGAACACATTCTGAACAAACTAGGTGAGACAGTCAAAATGCAAAATGAAATCTCTGAGAAAGGCTGGGAAGGGAGGAAGGTGGTACAAATTCCAAATGAATGAAGGAGTAACTTACATGGGGCCCTCTCCCCTATCTGGTGGTGACTTTGGTGGTCTTCTTCCCCTCAGTGCAGAGAACTGCATTCAGAGTTAGACAACCTCAGTGACGAGTACCTCTCCTGCCTGCGTAAGCTCCAGCACTGTCGAGAAGAGCTGAACCAGAGCCAGAAGCTGCCTCCCAGAGTAAGAGTGTCAATCCTCCCATACAGCAATAGATGATGGTGGGACTATTCCTCCTTTAGCCAAATCTTGCAGATAAAATGTACCAGCCCATGCCAACATCTAACCGGCCTGTCCCGTTCAGCTTTGTTTATACTGAGAGTATAGTAACCATGGAAAGAAACACTGGCTTATGCATCTAAACTTAATTTTCATAGAACTCTTAAGCCTAAAGGGAAAGACTTACTGTTAGCTAAAGTATGAAATGGTGTTTTTTAGCCTTTTCAATGTAGTAGTGGCAAGGACAGAATGAGAGAGAAAAGGTACCAAAGAATATGAACACAGAATAATTTAATTTTGCTATTTTCTACCTTTGAATGGTCGTATCAGTGTTTAAGTATCTAGGCCCTGCTGGCCATAGTTCCCTCGGTCAATAATCGGCTTATGGGCCAGTGACCACCAGTAAAGTGGTTCTATTCCAAGGGAGGTGACAAGTGACAGACTGATGTAAAAACCTTTCCCTCCTCCACCAACTAAGATTTCCCACTGAGCCAGAATGGGAAGAAGGAAGGTTATTTTTGCCTATTTCTTCTCCAACCAACCTGTGGCTTCTTTCTCTTTTCCCCTCCTCCCTCCTCAGAGGCGGTGTGGTTGGTGGCTATCACTGTTGATGGCAATAGCCGCTATAGCACTGGCGGTGCTCCTGGCCAACAAGGACAGCCTGATGATCTGAAAAACTTGTGACAGCTTCCTCGGGTGAAAATCAGAAGAAACTCAATAAAAAACTCAGAAGGTCTGGTCACCTTCAAGTGTGGGTTTTCCCAATGCAACTGAAATTTCTGACTTTATTTTTTTTAACCTACTGTAAATAAAATGAATAAACGTTGCCTGACAGTCTCTGTCCCTAGAATTGTTTATTCCTGGATGACCTATCACATCACAAATATAAGACACTTGAGCATCCTGGTCTACTGTTCTTAACCCAATTCAGTTGGAGGTATATAAACATGCAGTGAAGCCCAGTCCTGCTACTTTCCAGTGAACACTACTCACACACAGGGCAGGCATATTTACAACCTTATCGTACCGTACCATACATAGTAGACAAGGATACACTGCTTGTCCTCCACCTCCCTTCTTATTCTCCACAGTCTCTTTCCTTCCATCTTCTATTCAGTGAAAAAGGAATAGCCATCTCAGCTAAGCCAGGACTCCTTACTACAGAAATGGCAAAAACGTACTACCAATGCTGCCGTAGCCACCACCTGTCCCCATGCCCATCATAGATGTGGCCAACTGATGACAGCATTCTTCCCTAGTGTTCTCAAGATGCTCAGAATTGGCACTGGAGATGATTGCTATTTGCAATCCTTGACTTAGGGCTGGACATTTACTGAGTACTTGCTCCACAGGAGACAGTCAGAGGGCCACAGCTGGCAGTGAGACTGTCTCAGAGGAGATGGTGAGGTCAGCAAAGTCATTCTGAGTCCTACATCGACTTCTAAGGTCCTTTTCCCAAGTGTTTAGAATGTCCCTCAGGGCTGGGAACAAGCTCTCTGGAACACTAAAGGAATAAAGCAAGACTGGAGGTTGACCAAGGAGCCATGAGATCCGGGCAGTGAACACCCGTAGTGGGATCAGGGCTAAGCAGTTGTCATCTCCCTGGTTCAGGTGAAAGGTATAGGGAACAGGATAACCCAGGAGGATCCCAAACACAGTACAGAGATTCCAGTCTGAGCAGCGGAGCCTGCTGCAGGAGACTGCCAGGGACAGGTCCCTGTGCAACCCCTGCAAATGGGTGATGATCTCAGCTATAAGGGACTTCAAGCCTTGAAGCTGGTCCAGGGAGCGAACAGAAGGGTGAGGTTGGGAGCTGGAAACATCCACAAAGGCTATAGTACCATGGAGCACCTGTTCCAGGTGCTGACACACATGCTCAGGTCTGACAATCAGGTTGTTTCCTCCAAGCTCAAGGATGTGAAGTCCCTCCGTCAGGAAGCCCAGGCCCTGCAGCTCCTCCAGATAGCGCTGGAGCTCTGATGCCCCAGCACCATTGCAATCATAGAGCAGAGCAGGCTTCAGTCCCCGGGCCACAGCCAGTATTTCTCCGGCCAGGTGAAGGCAGACAGGTTGGGGTGGGCCCCGTCTCTTTCCCATGCCCAGGGTCTGCTGAGCAGCTGCCACCAGCAACTGAGGACTCGGTGTTGACATGGGATCTGGAAGCAACATCAAGCATGGCCTCCTTGATTAGCCACAGTTCCCTCTCCTGGGCCACGTCTCTGAGCTCCAGACATTTGAAGGGCCTAAAAACAAAGCAGGACCAGGGAGTTATTAATACCAGCCAGAGACATACCAGGTCACCTGCCAGCAGCCTTCCCCTGAGTCTTACAGCACCTTCTCAAGCTCATTTTGTCCCTCCCTCTGCTTTGAAGGCTAACCCAGGCCAGACACCACGGGGTCAGCAATGCTGCCTGATTACTATGGGTGACTTAGTCTCTCTCCGTCCCAAACACAAGTGTCTGTATGGTCTTGGGGCTAGATTTATAGTCTCTTTGGCTTCTAGCCTAAATGGTATCTTTTGTAAATTACTTCCTCTGAATCAAACCAGAAGGAGTTTGGGGCACAGAAGAGGCAAGACAGCCTCTGGCAAAATTCAGAGTATTTCACCTAAAACTGCCCTCTGAGACAGTTGTAGATTTCAAAAGCACTCTTTTCACTGCCAATTTCCCCTTCTCTTCCCGCGAGAGTAGTTCTGCGAATAGAGCTCTGATTAAACTCATACACCTTGAGACATCAAAATAAATGAGCTGTGTTAGAACTATAGGAAGGTTGTATTTTAACTTCTGTTGTCCGCACCATCCCCTCTGGCCGACAACCACGGACCCACAGCAGATGGGCTCACTCCGATCCCACACCCTTTCGTGAGCAAATTATCGCGGTTTATTAATCTGGGCACAGGTCTCCCTCCCACATACCTACGCCCTTCCTCTTCCGCTGCCGGTTCTCAGGCTCAGGAACTCCTCCCAGTTCTTCCGTGCTGCCACACCGGCGGAGAAGCCAAGAACTCCGCCACCACACCGTAGACCCAGTCGGCCCGGCCTCCGGTCGGCGAAGTCCCCAATTGCGCATGCCCGACGCGACTCCTCCCCCCCCCCGCCACTTTCCGTGACGTCATAGCACGCCGCCTGGCGTTAGAACCACTGGCGAGGCCATCCGGCTGTGAGTTGTCACTGTGGGCGCCCGTGGCCGGCCCCTTCCGACCAATCAGAAGCTGCCCGGCGAGTCGGCGTAGACCCCGGTAGGGGCGGAAGTGGCCGAGAGAAGGCGGGACCTGGCGAACTGGTGGCCTGTGGCTCACCGCCCTCGCCCTTTGCTTTGTGGCAGCTGTCCCACTTGAGTAGGAAATCAGAAGCAAGACATATGGCACAAAAACACTCCTTGTGTCTGGAGAAATGCAGTTGCCCCTCTAATGGAAAGTTATTTCAAGGCCAGCGATAAGCGTTGCAGAATCTCCACATCTACGGGTGGTGCTACCAAGTTCAGGGTTTTTGTTTTTGTTTTTGTTTTTGTTTTTAAGGAAGCTTGGCCCACCTAAACTCTAAGTTTGAGAGGCTGAATTCTGAGAAGTGGGTGGATGAGTGCTATCCTGGTCCAGGTTTGTCATCTCTAAACGGGGTGTGAACAAATATATGCTAGACGTGCTTCTGGGAGCTGGAGGTATCACAGTGTGCAAAACGGACAAACACCCCACCTTCAAGGGTTCAAGGTCAATGAGTTCAACCTGCTGAGTTCCCATGAGAAATGAAACACAGAGATGCAGAGGGTTTTAATCAAGTATTTGAGAAGAAAAAGTGTTATTTCACAGAAGGGTTAACTACCAGATATGACCCATACTACAAAGGGAAAGAATTTGAGAAAACATGTATCTGAGAATATGGCCCAAATTGATGGATAACATAGGCAGGGTGGGGGAGTAAGGGCACTGCACACACATACACTGGATGTTTCACTCCTGGTTCTACGTTGGTGGTGTCCTCAGACACTGAAGAGACAGCTGTGGAGTAAAGATGGAGCCGGCCTGGAAGGAGGACCTTGAAGGAGGAGCTCCTAGGAGCTCCTAGGAGGACCTAGGAGCTTGAAGGGCTCCTAGTCTGACACTGGACCTTAGCTCTGAGGAAGTCAGAATCAGGGACTGGAAACTAATTTTAGAATTGTTTCCTTCCCATATTTATTTTACCATGGTGGTTACCAATAAATCCCTAAAATGAAAGACTTATTTAGTCCATTCATTTATTCTAACAAATATTTGAAAACATACTATTACCAGACAATATGCTAAATGCTGGCAGCAAAATCCAAAACAAATAGTTTCTTCCTTCAGCAAATTCGTAGTCAAGCAAGACACAGATGCTGAGCAATTACAACAGAATTGATTACTCTGAAAAAGGAAGTTTAGGGTGCTATGGCAACACTGGCCAGGGACCCAATATATTCGGAAGGGATCAGTGCAGATCCAGCACTTGCCCTCCCTATTTACCTACAGTGGTTCTTCTTAACTTTGAGATAACTTTGGTGGTAGAGTGAAGAGGGATGAAAAAGAAGAGCTGGTTGACACCATCTAATTCCCTTCCCAGTCTTCAGCAAAGTGAAGGCAAGGAAGTAGAAGACAAGGGTGTGTGGTTCAGCCACCAAAGGAAATAGTAAACTGAATCTCCGAGAAAGAAAGGACACCTGGTATCTGTCCATCAGGACTGGAGAAGGAACACTGAAGGGGACCAGTGCAGAGCCTTGCCTGCAGTCTCCCAGCATTCTGAAAAGAATTTTTTTAAAAAGAGGAAACTGAGCTTTAGTTAAGACCACATAAAACCATTCATCCATCCCTCTGATGTTTATGAAGTTTTTATTACAGTCACATACTAAAAGTTTCATGCTTCTTGGCACTTCAGAACACTATTTTTAATCCCTGTGGCCAACTCTTTATCTGGGCCCCAATTCAGATGGACAGCCTGGCCGTTAGAATCTCACCGAGTAAGGGAAAGGGGCCAGCCCAGATCCACTAGTTGTTCTACCAATTTATTTATCTAGTTGTTTCTTTATAATTTTGAGTTATGCAAACAGACAGAAGCAGCCAGACATCAATACCAAACCGCTCACTTCACCCGCTCAACAAAATAACCAAAAAAATAGAAAGTTTCTATACCTTGCATGTTTCTTGGTTTCTAGAAACACAACTGCTCACAACTGAGCACCTCCCCTTTACCCAGATTTTTCGGGGTCATACTTCAGTAACAGTAGATCCTTAGAGACCCTCACACCAGGGCTTAAGCATTCTAAATAAGTCCCACTGCCACCTGCAACTGAGTTGAAGCTATGCTTTTTGAAATAAAGCTAGCCCAACTTTTCACCTAGTTCAACTCCAACAGCAAGTAGGAGATAGCTTGGTTTGAGGGTAGCAGATCCTTAATGCTTTCTCAATATGGCCTGGAACCAACAGCCTTCAGTATTTAAGAGGATTGGGGCAGCTACCAGACATTAGTATCTTGCTTTCCATTTAGGTTTTGAAGTTTAAAGCATGATTCCATCCTTTAAAAAAAACAAAAAAAAAAAAAAAAAGCTCTAGCTGGTGTGGCTCAGTTGGTTGGAACATCATCTTATACTAAAAGGTTGCAAAGGTTATGGGTTTGATTCCCTATCAGAGCACATACTTAGGTTGCAGGTTCAATCCCCAGTTGGGCACGTACCAGAGGCAACCAATCAATGCCTCTCTCTAAAAAAAAAAGCAATGGGGGAGGGGGGGAGTCCTCAAGCAAGGACAAAAAAAAAAGGCAAAAGGGTCAGGGACCAAGCAAAAGTTAATATATAAGACTAGTTTGTGGCACCTATAGATGCAAAGTTCTACACCCTAATTATTCATGCCCAGCTACCTCCACTAGGGAGACAAGCAAGTTTATGCTAGGTGAGCCTATTCCAGAAAAACAATGACCAGCCATTTTTCACCTTCACCTTACCACGCTCAAACCCAATTTTTCCCAAATGCAAATAATCCAAATGACAGGAAGACTAAAATTCTCCAAACAAGGAGGACTGTCCCTTTTACACTTACAGAAGTTTTCCGAGTTGCCCAACTCATCCCCAGATCTTCCTCAAAAAAGAGAGAGCTCTCTACCCTCTCTGAAGGCTGTCACTGAGTCACACTCATCTACCCCCCCACCCCCACCCCCACACAGTGGGATCCACATGGTGGCAAGGTAAATACTAGATAACCACCTCTGTGACCGGATCCCTGGGCCTTCTAAGTCAACAGCTTCCCTTTAGAAGCTCAATTTATGAGCATTTACTCCGCAGGCTGGGTGACTTTCAGACTTTGGCACCTATTTCTATTTAGATATCAAGTTTGGTTCCTAAGCAACGATCCAGCTCCCCTCCCTCTCACTTCAAGGGAGCCAGGTTACTATACTAGCAAAACAGGTCAAACAGAGATCAATCCTGGACAAATCAGTGCTTGAGGGAACTTTAATGAAAGCAAGAAAAAAATGTGAGACAAGAACAATGCAGAAGGGTTCTGTTCCAGGCAGTTTTAGACAAGTAGAGTGAAGTCATCAAGTCAGAGTTTTAAAGCAGGCATTATTTCAGGCACCATTCCAACCCCTTCTCTTTACAGTAATGAATCTGAAGCCCAGAGGTTACATGACTTGGTTCAAAGTCACACATGGGAAGCAAAACTGTAACTAGAATGGTGGTGTCCAACACCCCCAGGCCAATTCTCCCTCTACTAAATTATACTACCATGGAGATGTTTAAAAAAAAAGAAAGGGAAAGTATGAAAGGTGATTTTTCCATAAATTAAATCAACTTGAAGAGCCAGACATATTTGGAGAATCAAAAACTACTCACATTGTTAGAAAGAAAAGAGGCTTTAAAAGCTGGTTAAATCTGAATAATAAAAAATATCCATATGTACACTATTGTAAAAAAGGGAAGGAAGATGGTATTCATGGCTACTGAGCCGGCAGGGCAGGGGGCAGTTGCATGCTGGTGGTAGGCTGCATGGGCTGCCAGCTCTCCTGGGTTTGCAGGATACGATACAGCTGCTTCAGCTGAGCAACGATGTTATCTTTGATGTCTGGAGTGGAGATCTGCAGGCGGACACTGCCACTGTCAAAGGATCGTGTGAAGTCACCAGAAAACATCTCGTAGATCATCCGAGCCACCACCGGAATAACCTGTTCAGGACACAGAGCACACAGGTATCTGCTGAGGGAAAGTTATTTTGAAACAGCAGGAGGGAGCCAAGATTGAGGGACGGACAAGTGAGGCCCCGTGGCAGTCCCCCTACTCTGGATATGGGATATGCCTTCATCTCTCTGAACCATCCTACCAAGGTTCACTCTAAAAGTTGATTCAAATGAAGGTAAAGAACGTAGATGCAGCATCCCACCACATACCTAAGCAAATAACTGCTCACTTAGCAAGACTTTTACTCAAATTGTATCCATTGCCTGTCTTGTTGCACAGATCCTGGGGCCAAACCCATGTGATCTTGCTTCTACTTCCTAGAATAAGGTCAAGTTCTTAAAAGTAATTCAAAGGTTTTTGTAAAAGAGCTGGAAAGGGTCATATCCTGTTAAGTTTCAGGAAGACTCTAGTGTCAGTGAGAGAATGAAAGATAAAGTCTCCACTAAATCCATCACCGTGTTGAGGACCCTGTATTCCACTACATGGACCTCCCGTACAGTGTAAAAGCTGGACTCCTGCAACTCCATCTGATGGGATTAAAATCCACACAGGCTGATGGGTCCTTGCCCAGGGCTTTACCCTGGACTTGCTCCAGAAAAAGCTTTGCTTAAAAAGGTAAAGAGTTGTTGGCACATCCTTATCTCCTCACCTGGACCAAGATGAGTTTCCTTTCCAGGGGTTTCCCATCTGGCCATTCTTCCCCAAAGCACAGGTAGATCTCAAATGGCGGCTGCTTCTCTATCTGTCCTTTCTGATGGGCAATGAGCTCTGCAGAGGGTGGAAGAGCAAGTTTGGTGCACTGGTCATTCTATGTCCACTCAGTAAATAGCATCTTTTTCTTTTTAAGATTTTATTTATTTATTTTAGAGAGGAGAAGGGAGGGAGAGAAACATCCATG